CCGGCTCCCGCGGGCACCGACGCCGTCGGAAGTGGCGGCTAGCTGGCTGGGCGTTGGTGCTGTGGCTTTGCGCGGTCTGGAGGGCCCTGGAGGAGCTGCAGAGGAGGTGGGACCCGGCCTGAGCGCGGGGCGGGAGGGGCGCGGGCGTGCCCTTGGTGGTTCTCTTCCCCTTTGCGACCCTGGTCACGCTCTGGGTGACGACAGTCCCTTGCTGTCGCCCGCGACTCCCCGGCTCGCCCCTCCCCTGGGTAGCCCCGTTTCCTCCGTGTTCCTCTCCCCACAGTGCTCCCTTCCCGGGGTGTCCCCCTCTCCCCACGACCTTCACGGCCTGCGGGGCCTTCTGACCAGCAGCGACACTCCGGCTGTCCTGGAGTGGGACCTGGAACAGCCCCTGCAGCTGGAAAGCCTGCTCCGTCCTGTCGCAGGGGTCGCTCTGGGCACACTCGCCCCTGGGCCTTTCCTCCTGCGCTCGGGGCTTCCTGCCTGGACTTGAAACCTCCATTTCTGCTAACCGTAGGGACTGGTTGTGTGCATCGTGGAGCTGGTGTCGTCCTGTGCCCTCTCCGTTTGTGACCTTCTGATCTGCCTCCCTCCTCTGTCATTGCTAGCAGCCACCTTGTAACACCTCCAGTTTACAGCTATTTTTCTCTTAAAGCCATAAGTATTCAGCTAAAACCAGCACACAGGCTATTTTCAGTGGACTCTGTCTGCATTCAGAATGATTAGTTGTGATATTTGAAAATGTGAACATGATGACATAAAAACTCTGGAAAATGCTCAGGGCAGGTTAACTGAAACTCTTCCTAGAAATGCTAATTATGTGGTGACGGAATTAAGAACAAATACCATCTATTGATTGTCAGAAACAGTGGACACTTCATGAACAGAGTGCCTTTGCTGGTCTCTTGGATGTGGGTTGATATTAGTTGTTGCTGTGTTTCCAATGTAGACTCAGCCTGACTGTCAGCCACAGGCAGGACAGGCCATAGAATGTCCCTCCCTGCCACATGGGTCCAGGCTCACCTCCTTTAGAACTGCCCTGCTGCTCCCCCTGAGGGCCTCCCTAATGGGTCCTGGCCTGTGTGTTTTCTCACAGCTGGGGATACCCGGTCACAAATAAAGAAGAGGCAATGGGAGATGCTCAGGGGCATGATTTCAAGCAGTTCTCAGTGAAGGATAAGGCTGCCCTTGTGAGGTAACAGAATACTTTTGGGAGGAAGTGGCCTTTGCTTGTTTGTGAATTATGGTTTTTGTTACTGGGGGTGCTTTGCCTGCGGACTCAGCTTTTGCAACAATCTGGTCTAATATGACCTCCCCACTACACCAGCAGAGAACAGGGATAGCCCCGCCGGCCTGTGTAACACAGACGCGGCACGGAGCCTCTGGGCTGGGAGTCTGGTATCAGGGGAGGAGAGGGAGGGAAGGGATGTTGTCACCTTCCTGGGCAGTGTACGTTTCTTCCTGTCAAAGACATCATCTTGATGTTGGCTTTGCAGTTTTTCCGTTTGGAGTCACATTGACATGTTTCTTTGATTAAAGGAAGGGAAAGAATACCGAGAGGACGAAGCTGGAAAATTCAAAGAAGCAGAAAGTGAAGGAGCCAAACCAAGAGAATCAGGGAAGATGTGGGGAAGAACAGGTCTGAAGCTTCTGTTTACCGTCTGTTTCATTCTTAAACTCACAGTCTTCCATATGTTGTGTTCTTCATTTTTTTTACTCATGAACCTTTTTGATGAGTATGAAAAACCTTTTTTAGCATTTTATTTTGATAAGTTGAGAAATGTGTACTTTGCATTCACATGCAGTGCCTTTATTTCAGATTTCAGAAGGATCTCCTCTCCCTCCCGCCTGCTGCTGCCCTGTTGTGCCCGGAATTTGAAAGGAGCTGGGTGTGGGGAGGGGATCCCGCAGTCCTGCTCTGTCCAGGAGGGCTGTCTTTTGCCACTTGGAATCCTTTGATGAGGCTGCTGTGAGCTGAGTTTTAGTATCGTGAGCAGCCACAGGCTGAGGCCAGCCTCATGTCTCCTCGTGTCCTAAGCATCATGTTTCATCTTCTTAGTGGCCATGGACAGGACATGTTGGTGGTGGCCTTACTGTTTTGACAGAACTTCTGACTGTTTATGTGACATGGAAATGCTTTCAGTATAACTCTCTGTTATCTTGTGACTTGTAGCAGAGCTTGAAAGAAGAAAGTAAATTCTCTGTTTCGAGAGAAAATCCAGGACAGGATGATCCTGTTAACAGGTGCGGTTTGTTCTTTCTACCCCTTTCCTTTGCAGAGTGAGGTGAGGTGAGGTGTGGCTGGTGAGGGGGAGTCGGAGCGAGGGGCTGGGAGCAGGAGCACCTTTTGTCCCTACAGTCTGGCCTTTGTGGTGGCGTTTGGACCTGCACTCCTGTGTTTATTCCAGTCTTTGCTTTCACTTGAGCAGAAGACTGCATAGGACTGTGGGACGGGTGGGTAATGTGAGCTGCCGTCTGAGTGTGAGGAAACCCAGCTCCTGCGTGCACAGAGCCCAGCTGTGACACTAACGGCCTGAGGGGACTGGCGGCTCTCTTACGTGCCATGGGCGCTTTTTGTTTTTGTTTTAAATAAATGACCTTGTCAGAAATAATGGTGAACTTCTCAACAGTCAGTCTAATCACGTTTTTTTCAAAGAGTAGAACCAAAAGCAGTGGCAAAGGCGTCAGGCATGCAAGTGTTGCTGACCTTTCTTTACCTCTCCGCTCTGTTTTCTTGTATCAGATGTTAGTGTAAAGAGCTCCCTTTGTCCAGCAGAACAAGGAAGAAAACCTGATGCGAAAAACCACGTTAGGTTTTGCTTTTGAAAAGTGCAGTGCCGCAAATGAATCCACGGCTCGACGGCAGGATTTGTGTCAGTTCATGGCAAATAGATTTTAAGTTAGAATCGGTTGGTTTGAGCTAACCATGGGGTTTTTGTAGATGTCTTTTATCAGGGTGAGGAAGTTTCCTTCAGTTCTTAGCTGTTGAGTGTTACCTGTAAGTTGCTTAAAATACAGGGGCTTCCTGTGGGGCTGTGTGAGAAGAGGTTGATCATGAGCAGATAACTTTCAAATTGGAGTCACAGGTTTATGGGAGTTCATTACACTGTCCTCTCTGCTTTTGTATGTGTCTGAAGTTCTCCCTAATCAAATGTCAAACAGCAGAGGTTCCTGGGCCCCACCTGATGATTTCAGCTGGGTAGCTGTGGGTGAGGCCGGGCACTGAGATTCTGCATCCTGGAGAATTCCTTGGTGGTCTGCAGCCCAGGACTCCACTGTCTGGCCCAGTTCACCAGTGTTCTGTGTGTGTGCATGCGTGTGTGTGTGTGTGTGTGTTTGTGTACATGGAAGTCAGCTTTTATTCAGGAATACTGTGACCTGGGGAGAGATGTTGGGCTAACCCACCTCTCTGGTAAACCTGAAGGAGAATGGCTGGACTAAAGCCGTCTCCAAGCCTCGGATTTACTGAGAGGTTTTAAATAAGAGATTGAAGGAATGGAACCCAGGAAGTGAAAAGCAGAAGGGAGGAGGATGTGAGCTGTGGGGGCTCCCTGCAAGGAGCCGGGTGCAAGGTCTGGTTCCATCTGGTCTCTGTTCCCATCTTGACGTTATCTTAGGGTCTTTATTGATGTCGTTTTGGCTTCTCAGGGTCTGGATAGTACTTGTCTCATGGCAAGTTTGCAACTCTAGGCTGACTGGAAAACAAAGTTTCAGAGGCTGGAAGTCCACAGAACACATCTGGCAAAGGTTTTCTTTGGTGGTGACTTCAGTGACAGCAGGGTATCACATTGCACAAGTGGTGGAACAGAGTCACCAGTGTTCTGTGTGTTCCGTGCTGGCGGCTGAAACAGCCCTAAGTGCTAGTGCACAGGTCTGAGGGTCACGTGGCAGGATTCTCAGCTCAAGGCCTTACAGGCCAGAATCCAGGGGTGTTGGTGGGGGCAGTGTATGTCGAGGCACCAGGCTCTTGGCGTTGTCAACAGTCCCTGCCCCTGTGGGGTTGAGCGCTGTTCTCTGGCCGGGGGCTGCTCCCTGCTCCCTTCCACATGGCCCTCGTCCTCAGAGCGCCCTGCGTGGGGTTTCCCCTGGCAGGGCCTGCCCCAGCTGCTGGGCCCCAGCAAGCCCGGGTGGTGCCCCATGCCATTCCTGTCTAGGCCGATTATGTCCCTCTCTCTATTCAGTGTGGGGTTTGCTTCTGAATATATTCTTTCAGATTTACTACTTCTTTAAAAGTTACTTTTAGGGCCGACCCCATGGCTTACCCGGGAGAGTGTGGCGCTGGGAGTGCAGCGACACTTCCGCCGCGGGTTCAGATCCTATATAGGACTGGCCGGTGCGCTCACTGGCTGAGCGCAGTGCGGGTGACACCAAGCCAAGGGTTGCGATCCCCTTACTGGTCACGAAAAAGACAAAAAAAGAAAAACAGTTACTTTTGAAGGACTGTTCTTCTAAACTGATGATTTCCAAGCTGTCATAGTGTTGAAGGGGACAGAGATGGCCCTGGTGAGTGACAAGGGGCTGCCCTTTGCTGTCCTCTCTGCCCGTAGCCCAGGAGGCTTCTGTGGAGTGGGAGGCGTGTGAGAGACATGTCCTGGCTTCTGGACTTGATGGACACCTCACCAGCTGGCTGAGGCTTAGTCACATCCCTGCTGGGAGATTTGCCATCGTATTTACCAAGCATGTTTTTTAGAAAGGAGGAAAAAGGCCGTTAAGAAGATGGGAGGTTTCTGTGAAAATAGTTCGAATCTTTTCTCCTGTTTTTAAAATGGTAGGCTCTCTAAACGAGCAGCAGATTTGGATATTTGTGTGTAAATTTGTGTTCTAGATCTGCACAGATTCCCAAGCCAGTGAAGACTGATAACCACAGGAAGCTGCCCAAGAAGAAAGGCCAGGTGAGCGCCACAGACGGAGCACGTGGGAGACTCGGTTCTGATGAGCAACTTCATCGGGGCTAATGCTGGGCAGATGCTTTTTCTTGCAAATATAAGAAGACAATGCATCAACTTCGTGTTTGATTTTCTAGTAGGATTTTATTGTGAATTAAGTTGTGGCACCTGGACTGGAAGTGGCATTGGGGTAGCCCTCTGTCCCCAGTCTTTCCCGTTTGTGCCCGGGTATGCTGGATGCCACTGCGTGGACCAGTGTGGCCTGCACCTGCCCCCGACCTGGGAGTAGCCCCACGCCCATCCGCTTGTTATTGCTCCACAGGGGCCAAGGCCAATAAGCTGTTTTCGGAAGCTTGGTAGGGGCCACTTATCAGACCCACGCGACCACAGCTTGTGTGCCCCTCTGTGGCGCATCTGTTGTGTGGAGCTTCTCTCCTGTTTTCAGGTCCCTGGGGTGGGCACTGCCCATGGCTCATGTGTGACCCCACTTATGGTGTGTTCTCTCTGTCTGGACAAGGTCGCGAGGCCACGTGGAGGTCCTGCAGACGAGCTGAAGATGGCCCTCAGCGGACCTGACGGCGTCTCCGGCCAGCCCTCCAAGACCCAGGAGAAGAGAGGGAAGGAGACGGTGCTGCAGGCAGTGCCTGGCAGGATGGCAGCCCCTGGAGGGGATGGCCGTGAGCTCAATGGCCAGGGTGAGAACCATGAGAAGAGCAAAAGCAAGCAGGAAAAAGGTAAAGGAGAAAACCTTGAAGAGAGAGGGCTTCTGGAGAAACCTGTCGGGATACACACAAAAGCCGCGAGGCCAGAGGAGGGCCGCGGGGACAGTAGGAGCACACAGGAGGACCTCAGCTGCAGGGAGCAGGAGCCGAAGGAGAGGGGACCCGGGGAGGAACGTGCTAGAAAGGAGGGGCAGTGTCACCATGAGAAAGGAACGCAGGATGGCAGAGAAGCCGTTCCAGGGGACGGCTCTGAGCAAGTCCCCGTGAGAAAGACGAAGCCCAGAGATGCCAGGAAGTGTGAAGAGCTGCTGGAAAGGAAGCAGCTTCAAGACGATGACAAGGAAGGAACAGATGTGTGGGCCGTGAAAATGAAGACAGACCATGACGAAAGATTAGCAGGTGGCACGAGGGTGAGCAAGGGGACCCGGAATGACCAGGCGTCTGGACCGGGCAGCGTGGTTTCCAGAAGAGGAAAGAAAAGGAGGGTACTCAGAGCTGCAGAGGAAGGAGCTGGAAAATCAAAGGAACGAAAATTAGAAGGTCAGGACCAGAAGGACAAGCGGAGCAGAGAGAGAGAGGCGCAGCGCAGGAGTGAGCTCAGCGAGGGGGCCGCGGAGTGGCAGGTGCAGGGCCAGGCGCCGGCGGGGACCCAGCACACATCCAGGGAAGAGAGCCATCAGCGTGGCGTGAAGCGGGCCAGAGGCAGAGAGGACGTGGAGAAGGAGGAGGAGCCAGTCGGAGCTGGGGTGTCCAGTGGGAACGAGAAGAAAGTCGACCAGGAGGGAGAGAGGGGGCAGCAGAAGACAGACGGCAGCCGGTGGAGATGGTAGGTCCTCCCGCCCCTCCTCTCCTGCAGCGGGTGCAGGGTGGGCTGGTGTCTAGCTGGGCTTGGGCCTTGCCTGCCCTGCTGGCTGTCAGTGTAGTGCCACATGCTCCTGGTTGGGGGCAGCTCTTGAGCTGTGGGTTTTCCAAGGCACCAGCTTGAGCTAGCATGGGTGACACCGTGGCTGTGTGCCTGGCTTGCTCTTGATTGGTTCTTTTTGAGGTGGGTACTGGTATCTTCATTTTTCAAATGAGGTGACTGAGGTACAGAGAAGTTAAGTAACTTGCCCAAGGTCACACAGCCACTAGGTAGAAGAGGAGGTGTTCGACTTGGGCCACACCATAATCGTAACTGTCACCCCTGTGCTGTCCCATGCACAGGCAGGAGCTCCACGGATGTCCCAGTGGAAATGCACTGCAGGTGTGAATACACACCCAGAATGAGAAAAGGTGTGAACCATTTCATTAGCTTATTACATTGATATGACAGTATTTTGGGTATATTGGTTGAAGTAAGTATACTCTTGAAATTAAATCACCTGTGTCCTTTGAAATGTGGCTCTGGACAGTCTCAAGTCCACTTGTGGCCCACGCCACATTTCTGCCGGGCACTGTTGCCACTCACCTATGAGTGATCTCTGCACAGCCTTGGAGCTGTAGGCTTCAGGTCAGCTCCCACATTCAGCAACTGTTTGATTCTGGGGCAGTTACTTACATTTTCTAAGCCTAGTTTCTCTTGTATGCAAAATGGAGATCCGCGTACTTGCTGTGAGGATTTGCTGTTGACTAAGAGCATGCGTGTGAAGCCTGGCTCCCCTTCCCTGTTGTGAACTCCATGCATACTGGCAGACAGTCCACTGAAACCTTCCCGGTCTGCATGACCAGACCTCCCCAAGCACGGCCCTGGTGTGCATAGCAGGGGGCTTATTGGCTTCTCCAAACCTTCTCCATCAACTGCAGCCAGCCTGGTGCCACATGATATCCTTGTAGGTTTGATTTGCATTTCCCCAGTGGCTGACAATGTTGAGCATCTATTTATGGGGTTATTGGCCATTTATGTGTGGTCTTTGGAGATCTGTCTGTTCAGATTCTTTGTCCACTTTTTAGTTGTGGTATTTGTTTTTTTATTGTTGAGTTGTAGGAGTTCTTTATACATTCTGGTACTAGACCCTTATCAGATATATGAGGGATCTTCAAAAAGTTCATGGAAAATGCGTATTATGAAAAAACTGGGCATGGATAGCAAGATTTTTTTTCGCCACGCTCTCCCAAGTGAGCTCACTGGCCAGCCCTGTTTTTATTTTTATCTTTTAATTCCATTTTTCCATGGACTTTTTGAAGTCCCCTTGTATGACTTGCAAACGTTTTCTCCCTGGGTTGTCTTCTTGCTTTCTTGATGATGTCCTTTGAAACATGCAAATTTTAACTTTGAGGAGTCCATTCTATCTATTTTATTTCTTGTTGCTTGTGCTTGTGCTTGTGGTGTTGTATTTTAAAAACCGTTATCTAATCTGGGGTCATGAAGATTTACACCTCTGTTTTTCTTCTAAGAGCTTTATAGTTCTAGCTCTTACATCTAGGTCTTTGATCCGTCTTGAGTTGCCTTTTGCATGTGACATGAGGAAGAGGTCTGACTTCATTCTCTGCATGTGGGTAGCCCAGCACCACTTGCTGAACACTCAGTCATTCGCTAGTGGGTGGCCTGACACCATTGTCGAAACCAGTTTCCCGGAGATATGTGGGTTTGTTTCTGGACTCTGATTCTACTTCATTAATCGGTTGATTTATCCTTATGACAGTGCCACACAGTTGTGATTACTGTAGCTTTGACGTTTTGAAATCAGGAAGTGTGAATTCTCCAACTTTGTTCTTTTTCAGGATTGTTTTGGCTATTCAGGGTCCCTTGTATTTCCATATGAATTTTAGGATCAGGTTGTCAATTTCTGCAAAAATGCAAAATGGGATTTTGGTGGGTGTATTAGTCTGTTTCTGTTGCTTATAACAAAATACACAGGGGCCAGCCCGTGGCTCACTCGGGAGAGTGCGGTGCTGACAACACCAAGGCCACGGGTTCGGATCCCATATAGGGATGGCCGGTTAGCTCAATGGGTGAGCGTGGTGCTGACAACAAAATACACAGAACTGGGTAGTTTGTAGAAAATGAAATTTATTGCTTACAGTTTTGGAGGCTGAGAAGTCCAAAGTACATGGAAACACGTTGGGTGAAGGCCTTGGTGGTGGCAATAGTGACCCAGGGATCTCACGTGGTAGAAAACGGTGGAGCAGAGAGAGAGAGAGCGCACTCTTGCACTCTCCTTAAGCCCTCAGAAGCACACCCATGACCACCATCAAACCATTCATCAGTGGTGGCAATAGTGACCCAGGGATCTCACGTGGTAGAAAACGGTGGAGCAGAGAGAGAGAGCGCGCACTCTTGCACTCTCCTTAAGCCCTCAGAAGCACACCCATGACCACCATCAAACCATTCATCATGGCATGATCCTCACAATCCAATCACTTCTTCAAGGCCCACCTTTATGATTACCATAATAGGATTTCCCACCCTCAAGTTCCAGTGGAGATTACGTTTGGGAGGGACGTTCAATCCAAGGCAGTGGGGGTTGCGTTGAATTTTTAGATGCATTTGGGGAGTGTTGCTGCCTTAACTGTGTGAAGTCTTCTGATACATGACTTTCCACTTGTTCATGTTGTCTCCAGCTTCCACAGTGTTTTAGTTTTCAGCATATAAGTCTTTCACCTTGGTTAAATGTATCACTCATTTTTTTTGTTTGTTTTTTTGCTATTGCAATTGGAGTTGTTTTCTTAATTTTCTTTTTGGTGATGTTTCTGTATTGATCTTGTACCCTGCAGCTTTGCTGAATTCATTTCTTAGCTCTAATAGTTTTTTTGTGGATTCTTTGTGATTTTCTATACACAAGACTATGTCATCTGCCGGCAGAGATGCTTTCCCTCCTTTCCAACCTGGATGCCTGTTACTGCATCTGCCTTCTGATCTGTCCTTTGAAGCCCCGGTCAGAGCCTCTGGTATGAGGATCGCGTAGTGGTGGTGAGAGGGGACATCCTCACTTTGGTCCTGATTGCAGGATGTGAGCTCATTTGCATATGAACTTAGCTGTGGGGTTTTCCTTGAAGTCTTTTATCAGGTTGAGGAAGTTCCCTTCTATTCCTGGTTTGTTGGGTGGCTTTTGTTTTGCTCTTTATCAGGAAAGGGTGTTGGGTTTTGTCAGTGCTTTTTCTGCATCTACTGAGAGATTTTAGGGTTTTTGTTCTGCCACATTGCCTTTTACAAAACTTGAGGAATCTGAATTGGAAAACACCTTGGCCTCAGGCTGTGCTGAAGGAACAGTACCTGTGTTAGGATTTACTTCTTGGTTTGTAGAAACGATTGTAAGAAATAACACAGGCAACCTTTCCACCACACCTGGAAGGAGGCGGCTGTTAAGAGTGCCAGCTGCTGCCATCCCAGTGTGTCCATCGTGATCAGCTGTGTCACTCATTCTGAGATGACAGGTCCCCACAAGGCCTGCCTGGGTCCTGGATCCTGGACTGCAGTGCATCTCTGTTCACGCTTCCAGCCACTAGCGGTCACTGGAAACTGAACATGCTGCTGGCCCCGGGAGGGGCTGCTGAGGGTGGCCAGGCCCCTTTCCCGCCTGTCTCCACTGTGTTCTTACCAAATGGTCACAGCAAAAGCAAGGACAAATGTGAAATCATCTTCCCCGAGTCCTGACATCCCCATTTATAGTCGAAGACCAAGGCTGTGCACCTGCAAGAGATGGAGCTGGTACAGACTGCTGCTGGCTCAGAGCCTGCGGCCAGTGCTGGCCTAGAGGTTTTGCTGCTTGGCCTTGCTGCTCAGGGAGGACGCTGGGATTCTGCCCTGGCCTGGGCCAGCATCGTCATCCCAGGGACTGTGAGTGCGGGGAAGGAGGCTTCTCTTTGCGTGGGGGTCTTTGGTCTTCTTCCGGTGAGGGGCTGGTCAGCTGTGATTATTTTTCAGGACTTATGGTGACGGTTATCCAGTCACCTCCTCGGAGGTGCTGTGTTGAGCCGGGTGGCAGGTGTTTCTGTTGTTACTGTCCTCCTGGAAGTGCTGGGATTTGATATGTATTGCTACTCAGGTAGCTTGACTTGCTGTATGATGAGGTAAGGCCCCTCTGCCCCCGCCCGGCAACCTGAGGTCCTCTTCTCCGATGTGCGTGGGGAGCAGGTACTCAGGAAGGACCTGCTGGGTGCCCCGCCCTCGGGAGGCTCTGGGGGAGAGCAGTGCAATGGTGAGCACCTCCTGTGTGCAGGCCCAGGGCAGGGGCCCCTTAGGCTGCGCGTGTGACCTGCGGGGCATCCTGGAGGGCAGTCCAGGGCCCAAGGGTTGCGGGACTGTATATGGCGGCCTTCTCCAGCCTGAGGGCCGCTGGACCAAGAGTGCAGGGAAACCGGCGGTCGACCGGGAGGACCTGGAAGACACCCTGGGCCGTGGTCGTGAGCAGAGCCGCGGGGCAGGGGGCCGCCGAGCCCACCCACTGCAGCGCTGGGGACAGACAACTGGCGCCGGACCCAGCCCCGGGCTCTGCGCTTGGAGGCCGTGCGCGCTTCCGGGGGCGGGGCCACGGCGGGGGCGGGGCCAGTGATGGCAGGGCCGGCGCGGGGTGGAGTCATGACGTGGGCGGGGCAGGGCCCGG